AGAATTTGTTAAAACGGTTTATTAATAATGGAGTGTACTAAAATCTGAAACTAGTTTTAGTGATTGGCTTCGTAAAGACTCGATATTATTTAGTTGAAACCTGTAGAATAAATATATGTATTTCTTTGTAATTAGGCATATAATTTGCTTAAATCCGTACAGTAATTTTCTAACAAATACCAAACAGTATAACGAATTTGTAAAAAGTTTACGTAAACCTTTTAAATAGGGTGGCGTTTAAAAAACATTAATAGTAGGTAACAGTAACACATTTCTCTACTTTTTGATATATAGTTTTCTATATAGTTTTTATTTGACAACAAAATAAATTTCGACCTACGAAAAAAACAATTGGATGATAAGTTAAACATGACGGAATTTCGTGTTTTTTTAATAGTTGCAAATCAATTTCTTTGCTCTCGACAGGAGTTAGATGAATGATCTTCCAAGTTGAAATGATTAGAAACAGTCTTGTCTGTCATTAATTTGATATCTGATCTGTAGATTGTAAAACGAGTGCTTAACCTATTTCTCGTTTCACCTACATATTGTTTGGGATATTTCTTACATGAAATTAAGTAAATTATATTCGAGTTTTCACTTGTTAGATGATCCTGGATTCGATTGGCTTCTTAAAGATTACTTACACTTAAATAGCGAGTTTCTGATATAAAGGGACATGTTTTGCATCTACTTTATAAATATTGAGATTGAGCACTCTTTGAATCTGAAAATATTTTTGAATGAGGTATGTTTCTGACTTTTGAAATAACAGCAACAGTTTGTAGAAAAATTGTCAGATTATTGCTAAACATGCTAATGATATTGAGAAATAATTTGTACCTGAACCAAGCCATGAATATTTAGAACGTCATAACTTTAAAGGATATTAAAAACAACTTTTAATTAACTCACGCCCGGCATAGCTGTTTAGGACGCATTCGAGATATGAATTGTTTCAGGGAAGAAAAGGTGCGTTCAGCAGTAAAAAGACACCATACAGTGTGGAATGAGAATGATTCGATACAACATTGGTATTAACCACCTGTTTTGCGATTTTTAATTGTCGACGGATATTTGTCACACGCGTGGCCTCGGTCTAATTGTTTAAATCAGAATGTCTTTAAAAAAGGTGAGAACTGGTTAACACTCCTGCTGTATATATGTTACAGTCAATGTGTGAAATCAGCCATTTCATGAAATGCCTAAAATGTTTTAGCTAATTCCCGGATTGATTTCTCTGGAAGCGAACGTTAACTTGTCATATACCTACCTACCTACCATTGATTTCTCTTTTTCTTCCTGGTAACTAGATGGCATGTCTCTGTGTTCAGGTTCTTCATCGATTTCAATATTTTCAACTTCATCTGCATCAAGATGTTGGACCATTGACAAACTTTTGCTTTATCTTTGGAAATTCTTCTGCAAAACTCAAACGTTCTGCTGCACAGCGCACCAACATCAAAGTCATTATTCGGACAAAAAGCTTCCAGCTTTGGCTGTAGATGTTCTGTTGTAAAACATCAATTTATGCATATTTCTGTAATTTTATTTATGGAAAATTCATGTAGCCTTCACCTGCATGCGTGCGAATATTAAAGTGGCGAAAAACGACGACCTTCTTGAATACTGCTTCTTGTATCCTTCTAGAAACTAAATTTAAATTGGCAAGTTTACAATGACATTCATGAAGGAAATAAGTACAACGCCCTCCTGGATATCCCAAGACAAAAAATTAGCTTCCCACATACGATATTTATTTGAGTCACACAGACCACCAATGAAATTTTCAAGAATGAAAGTACAGGAATGAAAGAGGACGTTCTGACAACCTATTTGCGTACTTCACTTTTGAAGACGAGAAAAACAAATATGATTCAATACTGTTATTATGACATTAAAAAGGGGGTTTGGCGAACGCCGTGGAGAATCCCTTGATTTTCTGTCACTAGTGGGGTAAGTACCCCAACCCACTGCATATTATGATATTGAAATTGGGAAGAAATGTGTGCTTATCTTAAATCATTAGCATGTAAATGATGTAATAAAGGTATCGATGTGAAACTTCGGATATATATGAACATCAAGACAGTGTATTATCACCCAGAGGAAAAGTACTATCATTTATTTAAACAGTTATTTTTCTACAATTTTAATAAAATCTGTCATAAATTGCTTCTTTCAAGAAACACAATACGTGTACAATACAGGGGGATGTAAACGGTTATATGCTTACGAATAACGCTGATTAACCCGACCGTTTCTCTGTCATATTTATTTTGTTCATGCATATCTACAAGCCAATTTTGTTGTGTTTTGATTTTCGGAGTATGGCTTTTGCAACAATACAACGGTGACTCGAATCGATTTTGTTGTAGCTGAAACATATTGTGTGCCTGTGCTTTCTTGATTACAATTTCTTACGACTTTGTATATATTATATTATTTATGAGATTGTATCGTTGTAAGGTTTATCCCTATCGATTAAGGTTGTCAATTTGTGATATGAACTATAAGATTGGCATCTTCAAAAACTTCAATTTTGACATATGTTTGTTTTAGCTGAACAAATAAGTAATAGTGTTCGAAATTTGAGCTTTCAAATCCATGCAGGTCCAGAATAATCTGCATTTGAATGTTTAAAAGGCGACTCGTCACTCGTATATTTTTGAATAGAAAAGACATATAGAAATATTGAAGATATATAATATAGTTTGAAGAATATTTAAAGGAATTATGGGATTTTCTTACATAAAAAAAATCGCGCACCTGTCCCTTTAAAGGGACAGATTCGCCATTTACGGGGCTAAGCGTACCTTGGATTTCAGACACGGGAATTGTTTGTCCATGATAATCCGTGTTTGAAAGTTAAAAAGACGAGTCGCTTTTCCAAGATTTTCCCAGTTTGAAGATCCGTTAATGACTTCGCATGTAAACAGTAGACCTACTAATCTATGGAGGTCAATTTATCCATTCTCTACCGATTTGTCTAATTCACTGATTCAAAGACAAATGTAAAATATCTTATTACCTATTACTTATAATTCAAACAACATAATGATTGAAATGCTAAAATCAAATGTTTATATTCACATGTAACTTAACTAAAATCCTTTCAAATAGTTTATTTAGCATCTTCCAAAAATCTTTAATGATAAACCACCGTCCTTTTTGATAAATATCAGAAGTATATTTTAAACTGTAAAGTGTCATTTGTAAACTGGAAAATGTTTGTAGTAAAATGATAAGTGCAACTTCTTTAGTGTATTATGTCTTCTGTTTTATCTCAAATGAATTATCTTTTATGCAAAATACCAAGGTCGCGACCCTATTGAATATTCAGCATTGCTACGTCATTGACCTCCATAACTATCCAATTTCGTCTTCGCACAATTGCGAAGAAAAATGTCTGGTTTTCAAAGATTATACATGCAATGTTTATATGTATAAACAAGACGTTCAACTTTCGGATACTCCAATTTCAGAGAAAAGATAAGCTTGTGCAATGTGCACGAAATGTTTGATGGAATTATGCTATTTGAAGACTTTTTTGGATTGGATTTTCACATCTTTAATAGTATTCAAAGGCATAATCAACTCGTGAAAAAGGGGGATCTGTCCCTTTAAGTGTTCACTTTGTTGCGTACAATGCAGCAACGATTAAACGTAGTTAGTTTTCTGAGCAAAATACAACATTCCAACAAAGCACAATTGTTAAATTTCTTCATAAAAGACTTGCTTATACCCTTAGGCCTATATATATTACTATAAAGCTGTTCCGATTCACTGTACATGTATTATGCTTTTATTCATTACGTAGACTTATGCTTGCAATGGAATTCATGATCGTATCCCCCGAAACGCTCTGAGCTCAATCAAGTTCAGGGATTTGAAGTGGGCGAAGGGGATGTTATATGATGAATGATGTATGTTCACCAGTTTCATTAAGGCCAATTAAATAGATAAAACTTTGCATATTTCCTTATATTTTTTTTATTTTATAATTAATTCGTTCGTGACTTAAGATAAAGACCACGAATTTTTTTTTGCAAATACAGTACAAAAATAGTAAAACCCACATTACATGACAAGTTTAACAATTTAATATCATTAGAATTTTATTTCTAATTTATAAATTAAGCAAATTCAACTTTATCAAAAGTTACAAGCACTTTTTACTACAATCTTTAACAAAATAACAATCTCAAAATATTTCAAACATGAAAATTTCATCAACTTGTTTGGAAGATGTGTGACCAAGAATTGTAAGAAACAGAAAAAAATCAACTAGTGCCTTTTCACAGAATAAAAATAGTCTCTTGACAGACAAAATATACTTGGCACAAACAAAAAATTGAGAGCATCGTTGTAACGGAATTAACATTTCAGTTTTTGTGACAAAATAGGATGGATTTCTGTCAACCAGATATTCAAATAATTATTGCTTGTAATATATATACAGTACAGTACAACAACTGACCAAAATACATTTATTAAATGTTCTGAATGACGAATGTAAAATGAAACAATTATATTTAAAGAAATATCACAACCATGACAGTTTTAATAATTTCTATTAACAAGTATAAAACAAGTACATGATAGAGGGTCGCCTTGTAGCAGGCCTATCTGTTTAAGTAGTAACATTCGACTCACATTCACATCAATATTCTTCCATTGATTATTCTAACTATAACATTTTAACATAAATAACACAAAAGTCATGCTCACAATCACGTCTTATGAAATAAAATACAATTTAAAAATCCTAGATTGAGATCACTTGGATAAAGTCAAGTTTAAAGTACTCCTTCTTCTCAAATATCTCTATAAATTAAATATAAAAACACAATTTCTGAAGCATTGCATGTTGGTATCAAAAGCAATATTGTGTGGCAGAAAAACTCACAATGTCATGATGAGACCGTGGTTGATGACGTCATTCGTCATACAAAAAGCACTATAATTGGCCAAAGTCTTTTCTTTCAAACAATCTTGCATTACTTTTTGGGTTCATGGCGTTTCATGTGGAGGGCTAAGTGGTCGGAACGAGCGAATGAACGCTCACAAACTTTACATCTGAATGGCTTGGCTCCGGTATGCTTGCGTATATGTCTGGTAAGTTCATCCGAGCGTGCAAAACGCCACTGGCAAGAATGGAAATGACATTTATAAGGTTTTTCACCTGAAATATAGAATAAGAAAGATTATTAAGTACATGTTCTATAAGTTGACATGATCGATGATAACATTAGTAAATGAAAATGATGGATTGGATTTTAATAAAACTTTAAAAGCCTTAAAACTTTTCATTTTAATTACTGAACATTAATGTGGTTAATTTATATAATTAGACATTTTTCATTATAATTGAGTAAAAGGAAGATAAATTAAAAGGCTCTAATCATTTTTGCTCTCTAAGGAAACAGTTTGGATAATGACATAAAATTTAATAATTACCTGTATGGATTCTCTGATGAGCTTTTAAATGAGAACTTTTAGTATAGGCTTTTCTGCAACCTGAAATGCGTAATAAAAATAAATCTTAAATTTTAAGCAAAAATAGAATATTTATTAAACATTGTCTAGATAAAAATAGCAATAATTTGAATATAGTGATTTATCTCTTGTACATTAACTGTTTTAGACTATTTTGACTAGACATTATTTTTCCGCCTAAATTTAAACGCATGGTGACATTTTCTGGAATGTTAGGAATGTAAAATGTTAAACGCGCTATTAATTAAAGCGACAATAACTAGCTCAACATGGATGCTGTAACGTCCTTAAATCCTTATGCAATACGCCTACGCACTTTTTATGATCGGGTCATTTTACAAGTATTCACTATCAGACCAACTGATAAACTTCATGACCTCATATTACCAGATAAAATATTTCACAATTTCGTATCAAGGGTGATATTGTTTTATGAAAGTGTAATGTTTCGAAAAATTAAATCATTATCGTACAAGGTACAATATAATATCACCCACGCAGGATGTACAATGACCCAAAATGTCGATAGGAATTGAAGGTTACTATATACATAGAATCACCTGTGACCCGGCTTTTATAAAAAAAAAAAAATACGCCATATTTACTAATAAAATGTCAACCAGGATTTGAAAAGTGGTAATTTATTCCAGTAAAACAACTGAGTGTCAATATAGTCAGTAAATAATCAAGAGCGTTTTTATTTACTCGTTATTTTGTTTAACCTTTGAAAAAAAAACTTTCTTGAAATTATTTTTCTTATAAAATTTGTGGTATAGGTATAAAGAGAGGAGCGCCAAAAACGTTTTTTTTTAAATTTGCGGTTAACGTATTTCAACTTTTGTTTTCAAAGATTATTTTAAAAAATCTCTTTGTGTAGGTTTTTACTTTTGTCAATTTTACAAAAAGCTGAACATTTACCTGGAAAATCACAATAATGAACTCTTCGTTTTTCTAATTCGGGATTGTTCTTTCTGTTATACCGTATGGTGGAACAACCGGGATGAGTTTGTGGGACTTTCTTCGATTGGTTCTGTCTGGAATAAGACACTGGAGCTGGTGAGACACATCCCATCATAACACCATTGATACCAGGATATGGCGGTGGTGGTGTTCGCCTTACATAGTCTTGACTAGGGCTGGCAGGTTGAGATGTAGGTGGGGTTAAGGGGAGAACAGGCACAACTTGAGCACCGGAGTATGTATGACTTTTAGAATATTGCTGCAAGTAAGGATGAGCGGAGACATCCATAAGACTATCATTCACAGATGTTAAACCCGATTGATTCATTATTACTTGTGGCATTTTATGAGACCTCTCAATACAGTCATCATAAAAACCGTAAGGTTCAGATTTGACTTGAAACTGACAAGACGGTTTATCGTTCGTATCCATGGGTTCAGCTTTCACAGTGGTGGAAACATCTTTAGATTTTGCACAATTAAATTCGTCCTGATTCTGATCCACCATATTGATACTGGCTCGCAGATCTTCCCATATAGAATCAGATACATTCTTACTTTGAGCTTGTAATTGTTCGTCGTTGTCGGATATCATCGATCCATATACCGTCGAATCTAAATCGAACACTTCTTGAGAATTGCAGGGTTCCCGTTTGATCCATGTAAAGTTGGGTTTGCATGGGCTGCCGGGCAAGAAAAAATCTTCGACGAATGAAGAACTTTCTCTCCGCGCTTGATCTAGACAAAATTCTTTATCGGATTGGTTGACCAAATTTATTTTGTCCTTCATTTGTTTTGATTCCAATATTGCTTTGAGTTGCATATGAGCTTCTTTGCTTCCGTGTGTTTTTGAATCTCCGAAGAATTCTTCTATGAATGATGTACTGGATCTTACTGCTTTTTTTATGCCCGTTGTTATTGGGCCATTCAAATATTTATCCAATTCTTCCAAAACCTGAAGACAAAAGATTACAATAATAAATATGTCGTCTGAACGGAGGAGATTTTTTCCCTAGAAAATCAAAATCTTCCATATAAAAATGCAAATGAAGATTTTTAATTTTCATATTTCGCGGCCTGCAGATTTGATACCGGCGTTTTATTATTTGATAATCAATGTAAATTGACGTGAGAAATTTCCTCGTTCAATAATTCTTATTTTTAAAAGTCGGTTAATGTTTTCAATTTACATATTCATTGAACTGTACGAGACAGCTTTCGTACGAAACACTTAATATATTCAAGCGCGTGTAATATAATACAAGCGACCGGTTTAGTAAAGATATCTTTTGGACTTTGGCCCGATACGTAATCGTTAAAAATAGATTTTCTAGGAAATCGTGACTGGCGAGAACTTACACATGATAAGAAAGTAGTTTTTTTCTAATGAATTTCGTTATTTTAGGTGAACATGTTATCATGGAATCACGCTTTTAATTTGTTTAAGCTAAAATTATCATGTTTGTCTACTACTCAATTCAGAAGAATCCTTAAAAGGAGCTTTAATGTATAAATAATTGATTGTTGTACGCTTTGACTAGAATATTAATTAATTAAAATTGTTTGTTAAAACTGATGGTGAAAGTGTACAGGTTATGAAATCCCGAATCACAAAAAGTTTGACTATGTGTTTCTACTTTCAGTAAACGTGACTCATTAAAACTATTTAAATTATACAGTTATAAAATCCTGTTTAAGAATTGTAAGAACTGATCATGAAAATTAATTAAGTTACATTAGGTTACTTCGTATGTCGTAATCAATGAAGATCCGGTAAAAAGTCGGTCAAGTTGTTTACTTGTTCGTCATGACTCGAATGTCATGCTGTACTGGCGTGTTTCACAGCTAATCATTTGTCATTATTTCATCAGACTATTTAAGTCGTCTGAAATCTGCCACCCGCTAATAATATATTGGACTAATGGTGGTCTCAACATTGTACCTCGGCTTTACACATGTTCCCATCTCCTCAAGTCATTCTCATTCATACACCACCCACACACATTCCACTGTTACTGAGGCTTAGGTTCAAACAGTACAATTTGAACAAACAACTCTCCATTCACCTCTGATTCATACTCTATTTAATGGCTGACTGATAATTTAGACATTTACTTGGAATTCGGTCAAGTGCGAAATAATAGACGCTATAACTGAAGGCCAAATGTTTCAAACATGAATATGAATAAAACTTCGAACTCCTGCTAATATATAGCTTACTTGAATTGTAAAATGATTTAAACTTTAACTTACATTTGAATTGGTAGCTTGAGAATTATTAATGTCCGATGGGGATTCAAATATATCGTCTGTATCCGGCACTATTTGATCGTCTAAGACAATTGGATTAATACACAAACTGTCAGCCATACCAAGTAGATTGAACTGTAAACACTTAATGAAAAATAAGAACGTAAACCTTCAGCTTTATTCCGTTAGGTCGGATAGAAACGTGCGTGTGTTCGCGCTTAGCTCTTTTCGCGTAAATAACGATTTTAATGAATGACTAGACTATATACTGAGGGAGGCGGAGCTTATGTCCATATAAGGAGCATGAAGTCATCAGTTGACATTGTTTGACAGGTTGCCAAGTAGCGTGAGAATTTTCATATCGATAAAAACACGCTTGATATGAGACAAATATCGGACAAATATTAACAATTTGCGTATTGACATGAAGGGAATTTGATTTGCAGTCAGAATATCGCAAAATCTTTGAAATAATTTTCAAGCACTTCCTGAAAATCCATGTAGTAAGTCTTTCATTCATGAATTTCGGTGATTGACGTCATATGATTGGCATGCCACGTCACGGGTTCAAAGGGTCATATGGAATATTCTCGTCTCGTGTTGTAGCATGTAATAACTAGTGAGGTAAACAATATTTATTATATTGTTCAAGAGAATAGAGTGTTTATGGGTTACTAAACTTCCTCTACTCGACTCGCATATCGATTTATTCTCAAAGTTGTTATTGTTAACTTACCAATTAATCCAAACAAATCATTACGTAATTGACCGACATGTTTGGTCTCCCGAGAACTATTTCCTCTGGACGAGATCCGCATAATCTAGAACTAGTAGTGTAAGCCTATGTTACAACATTTCCAGAGTTTTTAATTCTACCAATATAAAGGATTCGGTAGGATCATTCAGTCCAAACATATAATTAGATATGGTGATGTACTCAAGGTCACATACTACCTTAGATTTTACTATAGCGATTGTCTTCACCGGCAGCAACATCAGACACATCAAAGACAGCCGCTGCCATAGCCAGACAAACACAGCCCTATCCGTCCTCGGACGTCCTATACGGATGGGTAAACGTGTTGATATGTCATCCGTATATCAAATCACAGAACTGGAAGGACAAGATTTGTCTGGCTACCGTTGCGACTGTGAGATCTTACTTCTGAGACCAAATGACCCTTTCGATCGTAGTGGATGTGACCTTCGAGAAAGGACATGCTCATCATTCATGAACACCTGATACCCCTCATATACTGGATTTCTCAACATCTCAACACATCTCCAGTTTCCCTATGTCACTAATGGCACTACAAGTTGCGCACGATAGGACTAATGCCATGTGCATGTAATATGCTCCCCAGTACACACTACATGGCGTTGTTGATCATTAGTCTTAGCAGAAAAACAAGACCTGAAACTGGAGTTTGATTTGATTGAAATATTGTCTAATTGTTGATTATCTGAAAATATATTCTCGATGTCATGTGTATTGTATTGTAATTGCAAATCTCGGTATTATGAAATGGGCTGTTTATCTAATTCAGGAATACACGTGGTACAAGTTGAACATGTACGAATAATTCTATATGCATAAGTACATGTTCGTTAACCTTAATTCCGGTTGTTATTGTTGTGATGTGCACTTCATTAGCATATATTAAAATGCATCCTGGATCGCAAATGAAATGAAATGAATGGAGTTTTACGTCCTACTTTTGGGCTAATGAAGACGGCATCATGAATCGCAGGTCTGTAGAAGAAGAAGCAAATGGTAAATACACAATAACTCATGTTGTTTATCAGGGAAAAAGTGATCCAACGTTTCTTGTCTTTAGATGTACGCAAATCCACGGTACTATTCCTTCGTATTTATGTTTTTAGTCTAAGTAAGAAAATGGTTGATAAAGTCTGATAATGCCACAGTTTTAAGGTGTGGTGTGTGGTTCCGGATTATCGACACAGTTGAAAGTAGAAGATGCTAATCACGTCCGCATAGTGTCCGAGCCACATCTCGTGCATCCTTATCCAGTCCAGCCAGTATAAAGAAACTGTTAGTTTACATAAATCATCATGACATTATGAGACAAGAAAAGGAACCCCGTCTTTCTGAATAGAGCAGAGAAAATAACAGATTCAGGGTCAGTAGAAAGGCCAGAAGTTTGTTCATTACTCCGGGCAAGGTCAATTCAAATATCAAGATGTATTTGTAACTGTAAGATTCCATCCTGGCATTTCGGAAAAAAAAATTCATATTATAACCATAGTGGTGTCTTCTTTCATGCTGGTACGTTTTTGTAAAATATTATGATCAAAATAGCTCTTAATAATGCTTTGGATAGATGCACAAGAAACACGTGTCATTGTGCCCGATTAAATAAACTAGTTATTGTAACTGTATTTGAGTTCTAGGCTACGGTGAATCTTATAGTTACTAAAATCTATTCATGTCACGTCGTGAACAATTCACATCTCGTACTTGGTAATCTCCTTGGTATGTTTTACTTTCGCATGCTTTGTCAAATACTTTCCTAGAAACACGGGATTTCTAGGAAAACTTAAAAGGTGACCTGATGAAACACTCATATCGAATGCAAATATTTCAGATACCGGTAGTATAAAAATAGTCCAATATTAGATAGTCAGAATTTATAATTATGTAGTGGGAAATATCTGGTGGATATAATGGTATTACCGATAATTAAAATGATGGTTATCATCTTAAAAATATTCATAAAATATTATCAGCAGCGTATAAAGGTCATCAACATGTACAACACAATGTCCTAGAGACCAATTATATATAAATTGACGTAGGCAGAACTCAAAATCTTCAGAGTCGTACCTGTAATTTTCAAAAGA